AAGTCACTATGGGCCAGCAGCTGTCAGCTGATAATTTTCACGTTCTACTACCGGCTGCAGCGAGGCAAACTGTTGTCGTCCAAAGACTGAGAACATATGTTTCTTCGAAATGCAATTGCTGAGTAAACTGTCGCTGCATTGTGTACATCATCTGTTCTAACCTTCTGCAGTAACATTTCCAACAGGTCCTGCTTCCTGTGTTGGTTGTGGAGCTGTTGTTGAGTCTGGCGCCGAGGCAGATCCTGAAGCAGGTCCTGAGGTTGGAGCTGAATCTGGTGCCGGAGCAAGTGCTGGAGTAGGTGCTGAAGCTAGAATTGCTGGGTTCTGAAGGAGGCGCTAATATCAGCGTCGAAGCACATACTGAACTTGGGTTGGAGTTCCGAGAGCGGAGACGTTGTTTCTTCAGTAATTTATTTTCCGTGTCTTTTAGGTAATAGGCGCATAATGAAGAATTTGCATTATTCTCAAGTCCGCAATTTAGGGAGATGATGACTCTGTTAGATTTTTTCGGCGCACTCCCTGCTCATGTAAGCGACCGCGCAGTCCCGGTACGTGCCCCGTGCCCCGTGCCCCGTGCCCTCATCTTGAACAATTGGAGCAAATTGTGGCGAGATATTTGAAGACAGAACACCTGAAAAGCGCCCGCAACAATTTTGATGGTTTGGGGGTATTTTTTCTCCTTCATATGTGATGTTGAGTTGTTGTGTCATCCTATCATTAATTCTCATGCGCTTACCGTGTAGATTTTTTATATTTTATTCCGTGATCTCATTGATTCCAATTTCCCTTGGAACATCAAACACCGAGAGAGAGAGAGAGAGGGGGGGGGGGGGAGAAAGAGGGAATGAAGAAGGGAGTCAAACAGTGAAAGAGGGCATAACGAGGTTTTGAGGAAGAAGGAATTGAAGGGAGAGAGAGAGAGAGAGAGAGAGAGAGAGAGAGAGAGAGAGAGAGAGAGAGAGAGAGAGAGAGAGACGCGAAGAGGAATTAAGAGGAGACAGAAAAGTAACAGAGAGGGAAAAGTAGGAAAAGAAAAAGAGGAGAGATGAGAGAGAATGGAAGGGATATAAAAAGTGAAACAGAACTGAAGAAACGAGGAAGGAGAAAGACAGATAA